AGTTGCTGTCTTAGATTAGTGAGTTTGTACTTGTGAATTCAATCTTTACAAATCTTAGTGTGCCTGCATGTTTTATTGAGTGCCCTGATCTAATTATTTAATATTTATACTTGGATTTAGAGGAGGAGCTTACAGAGCAAATTCAAGTTTATGGAATTCATGTTTTTGTTCTACTCATACCAGGTTAGCTTCTATAATGGGAAAGAAGAAAAAAGAGGAGGCTAGTACTGCCATGAAGGTTAAGACAAGTAGTAAAGATGCCCTTAAGGATCAGAAGAAAGAGAAACTTTCAGTCTCGCCCATGCTTGCTAGCATGGATCAGAAACCTGATAAACCCAAGAAAGGATCCTCCTCCTTGAGCTCTGCATCTGGTAAGCCAAAGGCAAAAGCAGCTCCAAAAACTCCATCTTTCACTGATGGAATTGATCTCCCCCCATCTGATGATGATGATGGATGCTTCTGAAGAACAACAAGAAGAGATGTCCTAACCAGCAACAGAAGCCGGACTTAAGGTCACTTGAGATCTCCGTAACTGGCAGAGTCGAAGAATCGCAAAAAGAAAGACTTGCTTGCTGCCCATGGTGCTGCGCAGGCTAAGCAGGAGGTTCTCAAGGATGACCATGACGCTTTCATTGTAGTTGTTGGTAGTCGGGCTGCTGTCCTTGATGGTGAAGATGAAGCTGATGCTAAATGTCAAGGATATAACAATAGATAATTTCTCTGTCAGCTCATGGAAAGGAACTCTTGAAGAATGCATCTTTAAAGATATCTCATGGCAAGAGGTATGGTTTGGTTGGGCCCAATGGTATGGGCAAGTCTACACTGTTGAAGCTCCTTGCATGGAGGAAGATTCCAGTGCCTAGGAATATCGATGTGCTTTTAGTTGAACAAGAGGTAGTTGGTGATGATAAATCTGCCCTTAAAGCAGTTGTTTCAGATAATGATGAACTTGTAAAACTCTGACTGGAGGTTTCATCTTATGTGCTGGGGGCTGTTAACACGGATGATGATTGTGATGGGGATGATGCAGGAGAGAAGCTTGCTGAATTGTATGAGAGATTGCAGGTGATGGGATCAGATGCTGCCGAGGCTCAGGCATCGAAAATTCTTGCTGGGTTGGGATTCACCAAGGATATGCAAAGCCGCACAGCTAGGTTATTTAGTGGTGGCTGAGGATGAGAATATAATTGGCTAGGGCTTTTTGTGCAGCCAACCATACACCTCCATGACCTGAAACTCCACTTTTACCGTGGGAATTTTTATGATTTTGATAATTGGTATGAGCAGCGTCGCAAAGAAATGAACAAGAATTTTGAGATCTATGACAAGCAGATGAAAGCTGCCAAGAGGACGGGAATGGGTTCAGAAAAGGGCAAGGATTGAGCCAAGTTTGCAGCGGCCAAGGAAGCATCAGAAAACAAGGCAAAGGGCAAGGTTGATGGGGATGAGAGCCAACCAGAGGCTCCAAAGAAGTGCAAAGACTACAGTGTGGAATTCCACTTCCCTGAACGTATAGATCTTACACCACTCATTTTGCAACTCAGAAGTCAGCTTCAGTTATCCAACCGAGATGATTTCACATTGTCTAATGTTGATGTGGGTATTGATATGGGGTCTCGTGTTGCCGTTGTTGGTCCAAATGGAGCTGGAAAATCTACTCTTCACAATCTTCTTGCTGGTGATTTGGTTCCAACTGAGGGTGAAGTACGCAGTAGTCAGAACTTAAGGATTGGAAGGTACTCACAGCACTTTGTGGACCTTTTAACAATGGAAGAAACACCGGTTCACTATCGTCTTCGTCTTCATCCAGAGCAAGTAGGAGGATGTCCGTGCAAAACTTGGGAAATTTGGAGTCCCATGCCATAACCACCTCACACCGATTGTAAAATTAGCAAGAGGGCAAGAAAGCCCGGGTTGTTTTCACTTCAATTTCCATTTCAAAGCCACACATTCTGCCATTGGATGAGCCAACAAATCATTTGGACATGCAAAGCATTGATGCCCTTGCTTATGCACTGGATTAATTCACTGGTGGATTTGTCCTGGTTTGTCAGTTGTCACTGCTATTGGGTTGCACGGGTCTCGTGGATTAGTCGGGTAAAACTCCGGACACTTGGTTATCGGGAAAAAAAAAAAAAAGGTGTAGGAAATAAAATTTCACTGGTTCCGTACCTTGTATACATTTTTTAAATATCCTGCACTTCCTTTTCTTACTTGGGGTTCCGGACTAAACTGCTGTTTCTAGTGCACAAAATATAAGCATTTTTTTTTTTTTTTTGGGTCTGGCAAGGACCTCTCACAATGTTCTTGGAAGACTTGGAACTCTCTATTTTTCAAAACACTTTGAAAGAAGTTAATATTATTAGGTCACATTGACAATTATAAAATATTTGCATGATTAAAAATAGAGATTAAGTAAATGTTAGCCATTTTGCTTTTGCTTTTCTCTGAAGAGGTCACCCTCTGGATAATTGATTCATTGAATTGAGAAAAATCTCGAAATTTGTGAATGTAAAACAAAATTTGATAAAATTCTTTAATGTTATAGTTCTTAAAAAGAGTCCAAAGGGGAGTTCTTGATGATATTCATTTTTCTAACATAGCAAGTTCTAAAAAATTGAATTTAAATTTCAACTTACCGTGCATGGTAAGGTTAAAAATGAACTTTATACCATGTTCATCCTTTCAAAGACAACTAACAAGTAACGACCTCTTTAATACCAACTGTTTCACAAATCAAGAAAAGGACAAATTCACCAACACAACTAATGTTATATTTGGTTGGAGGGAAGGATTGAGGAGGGATGGATAAAAGGGGGGATGAATTAACTTTTTCATGTTTGGTTGGAGGGAAGGGAAAAGCGGGAAGAAGAGGAGAATATAAAAATTTGGATTAGATATAAAATTTTTAAATACTGAGATCATATTAGTAAAAAGAATATAAAAACTCTGTTTCCCTTCCAATCAAAAAAAAAAAAATGTGTTACCCCATCCATTAATTTTACTATCCATTCTATTCAACCAAACAAAAAGTGAGAAAGACACCTTCCCTTCCTTAGGGATGATGCCTCATCCATCCCTTCCCCTATCCCTTCTATCTATTTTTCTATCCTTCCAACCAAACGAAGCATAAAAGATTTTTGGTTAATATGGACCATCTCATCATTAAATTTTTAAAAGCTAAACACAATGGGGCCATGTTATCAAATACAAATCTTAGCTTCAGTGGATTAACATGCCTTCACAAGCCGGTCCTGCATTTTAATCTCTGTTCCTCTTAGTTAGCAAGTTTAATTTATCTACTTTCAATGAGACTAATGTAAACCAAATAAATAAGCCTAAGCCATTTGTCATGCCTCGCCCATTTGCAGGAAGTTTGCGTCACATAGAAACACACACTAGGAAGGATTTTTCTTGGTGTCAGCATGGCCGGGCCGGCCCTAAGTTTTTCAAAATTTTAAGAGGTTTTAAGCGAACTTTCAAATGTAAGGTCTTTATACATAAGGTTTTACCCGCGTAAAAAATTTGTATGAGTGCGAAAATTTTAATTAAAATCAGACGATAAGCACCAGGGGCAACTCGAAATAATTTTGTCCTGAGGCAAAAAATAAAAAGTAGTCTTTTAATAATATATTAATATTAAATAATATTTATTTAAAATCATCCTTTTGTGAAATGCAAAATTCCTAATTAGATTGGTATTTAAGTTTGGTTAAAATATACAAATATATTAAATATATATATACAAATTTTTAATAACAAAAGTTAAGTCAACTTAAAAAATAATTAAAAAAAAAAAAAACCAACAATAGAACCTGATTTAGAAAACTCTCAATGGAATAATAATAGGTTTAAATTGAGAGTAATGAGAATTGAAAGGAAGGGAGGAGAAAGATAAGTATAAACTTGCAATGACAGAGGAGAGACTTATTGAGAGATGAGAGAAAGTATAAGACGAATAAGAATAAATAAATAAAAGATAAAAGTTAGAAAAGAGTATGAAAAGTTTCACCACTTTTTCAAACTACAGTTAAATACATATTCAATATTTGCTGCTGGTACAACTTACCATAAAAGAAAAAATTTTAGTGTTAGTTGTAAAAAATGCGAATGAGTGTCATTAAAGGATATAAATTTTTGGAAAAATGTGAATTACGAGTAAGAGAAAAAATAAAATTTTATTTTAGGATATAAAATTTTTGAGGGATTAAATTTCTATATTAATTATATTTTAATAATATTAAGAAATAATTATAATATAACTTATATGAAAAATTTTAAAATTTTTAGGCCTTTTCAAATTCAAGGCCCCAGGCGATTTGGGTCGCTCGCCAATGCCTAGGAATGGCCCTGAGCATGGCATGAGTAAATTTATATAGGGTTTTGGAGAGGGTAATGGAAATTCTAGAATTTTGAAGAGTTTGTAAAAGTTATAAATTTAAAAAGATTTTCATAGAGAGTTTGTAGATAGAGTTTGTAAGTATATAAATATTTACGTAGAGAATTTTAGTTAGTACATTTTAACCATTTAATGTAATACAACATATTCGTCCATTAAAGAGAAGATGGTTTATATATAGGAAGGAGAGTAAGGGATTTGGATTCTCTAAGTTAAATCTTATCTAAATTATTCTAAGTTGATTTTTCTATTGATTGATACGTGATCACTCCCTCTCTCTCCTCTTGGAAATTTAAACTACAATCCCAAGAAAAGGGCCGCGAATAGCTAACACTTGTGACCGAAATCGTTCTCAAACTGTACAGGTGCCCTCTTCATCCTTGTCGCATGCATATCTATCATTTATTAGCTACATTAACCTATGCACATTTTACTAAGATATTAAAACTGCATATATGCAAACATAGAGAAGAGAAGCAGCGAATAAAGTGATACATCAGAGAAAGTAATAGATCTGTATTATCATCTCTCATTGCATATTGCTTTTGGAGAGACATAAAACAGAGCTAGGGTTTGAGTGGTGGAGGAGAAAGGAAGAATCATGCAACAAGAGATGACCGACTTAGAGGTGCAAACTCAGACAACACAAGAAGATCACTCCACTATTTTGAAGAAAGCTAATAATCCTGTTACTTTGAAGGTACATCATAATAATAATCACTAACCTAGCTTGTATGCATTTTCTTTATTCGTCTGTTTGTGGGATAAATATGAATGAGAATTGTATAAAACAGAGGATCAGAATCGGTAAAAAAACACCCATATTACAAAGCAAGGAGAGCAACCTCTAAAACTAGAAGCAACTCCAATCCGAAAACAACGGCCTACAAAATAAATAAATAACTCAATACTACCTAACACAGCAAACAAAACTAGAGAAGCAAAGTCGAACAAAGAAACTACATAACAATCTCAGCAATTTATTTAAAAGACCACTGCATTCATGTGCTTTTATTTTATTTTGGATAGGTAACTATTCACACACATTTCACAAATTGTTTACTGAGTTCGAACCCTCACCTTCCCTATGAAAGAGGAGAGGTTATAGCATTGTACTAATGACACCCATTAGTACATGTGCAACGTCTTATTGATCAAAAATCCATATACTCTGCTGCTTATTCTTCACATACGATTTTAGCTTGTGCAAGAAAATTCTAGCATTTTTACTTGTTAGAGTAAACCAAATAAGTTGTTCAACATCATTGAAATATTCTAATATATAAGGATCCATTAATTTTATCTGATTAATACAGTATATTAGACTAATAGTTTGATCAAATTCACAGTTTGAGGATGTTGTTTACAAGATTAAAACCAAGAAAGGAGGAATCCTAAAGAAGAACTCAAAAAGTGAAGAGAAAACAATCTTGAAGGGAATCACAGGCATGGTCCTTCCTGGTGAAATGTTGGCCATGCTAGGCCCTTCTGGCAGTGGCAAAACAACTCTCCTCACTGCATTGGGAGGCCGACTTGGGGGTCGAATTGGTGGAAGCATTACTTACAATGGCAAGCCCTTTTCAAATATAATGAAGCGAAACACCGGATTTGTGACTCAAGATGATGTTCTGTATCCTCACCTAACTGTGACTGAGACATTAGTATTCACTGCTCTTCTAAGATTACCCAACAGTCTCACCGAAGAAGAGAAGGTCATTCATGCAGAGTCTGTGATAACTCAACTTGGGTTGAACAAGTGCAAGAACAGCGTCATAGGAGGGCCATTACTAAGAGGTGTCTCTGGGGGTGAGCGAAAAAGGGTTAGTATAGGCCAAGAGATGCTCATAAATCCAAGTCTGTTGTTTTTGGATGAACCAACATCAGGCCTTGACTCAACAACGGCTCAACGGATTGTAGCAACACTGTGGGAGCTAGCCAATGGAGGAAGAACGGTTGTGATGACTATACACCAGCCTTCGAGTAGACTATTTTACATGTTTCACAAGGTTTTGTTGTTATCAGAAGGCAATCTTTTGTATATAGGGAAGGGAGCAGAGACAATGGATTACTTCGCTGGTATAGGATATGCCCCATCAGTTGCCATGAATCCTTCTGATTTCTTGTTAGATCTTTCGAATGGTATGTGAACCACAATGTGTTATTTTATATAAGATTTGCTAATTATGTTAGATTGTTGCTTAATTTGTTGGACTTCGTGATCACTGTGACTATGTTATTTTCTGGAATTTGTGTGAGAACATCTAAAATTGCACTTAGACTGACTTTTTACTCTTGCTTCCGTCTGAATAAACATTAGTAGATTAGAAAATTCCTACAGTTTTGAAAATGTACCATTTATATTATAAGGTTACTTCTCCCATTGATCAGGATATATAGTTACAGACACATATACATGGATATACATTTATTATGTTGAATTCTGAAAGATCACATTATGTTAGATTTGGATTCTATGTGAGAGCTTCTCATAATGTGCTTGTTGGGACACAAGCTGTCAATAGTCAAGTAACCTTTTTTTTGTTTTTTTACCCCTACAATTTTTGTGAATGATCTAGTAGTTGAAAATCTTGTGACATACATAGTTGCTGAAGATATATATATATTTTTAGGTGTTTCATCAGATGATTCAAATGAGGATCAAGCTGTGATTAAGCAGACTTTGATTTCTGCGTTTAGAACAAAACTTTGTGACAGATTGAAGGCGGAGCTTCATGAAATTCACAGAAATGTTCATGAAGGTTTAGAAGACAAGCAGATTGCACGGTGGACGACAACATGGTGGCAACAGTTTTCAGTGTTGTTGAGAAGAGGGGTGAAAGAAAGGAAGCATGAGTCCTTCTCTGGCCTCAAGATTGCACAGGTCCTTGTTGTTGCTTTCCTTTCAGGATTACTATGGTGGCAATCTGATATTGCTCACTTACAAGAACAGGTAATAGATATTTCTTAGCTCTTTCTCTCTTTAAGTAATAATGTCTTTTCTCACATTTCTTGATAGATTGCTAAAATCATATCTATGGTGACGAAAACAAAAAAGAAGGAAAAATTTTAGTATTCAGTTGTGGCTTATCTAGCTTGGGAGAGTGTCATTAATATATAAATGATAAATGATAAAGAAGAAGAGAAGAAGAAGATAATTGAACAGAAGTTGAATTTGACAATGATTGGAGTGCTTAAAATGATCTACAGCAAACCATGAATAATCTTCATTTTAGTTGTCGTGAACAGACGGGATTGGGTTATATTGATCATGCCATTTAAAAGTTGAGATAGGATTGAAGCCTTTTCAATCATTATAACAACTTGAAATGAAAGCTTATAAATATTTTATCACATCCTTAGCAACTTGAAATACTGTTCAGCTTATAGATACATTCATGTGGTTTACTAGTTGAGATGGGAATTAAACCTTTTAAATCATTAAATCAACTTGAAATAAAAGCTTGACAATTATCATATCCTTATTTTTGGCTATCCATGCAGATGGGGCTTCTCTTCTTCTACTCGGGATTTTGGGGCTTTTTCCCTCTGTTGGAAGCCATTTTCACTTTCCCCCAAGAACGCATGATGCTCGAAAAGGAAAGATCTTCAGGCATGTATAGGCTGTCATCATTTTTTATGGCGAGGACGGTTGCTGACTTACCTATGGAGCTTGTCCTTCCCACCATTTTCGTGATCATAACATATTGGATGGCAGGGCTCAAAGCCACAGCTGGGAACTTCTTTGAAACCTTATTTGTGCTCCTAATTAGTGTGTTAGCATCTCAAGGCCTCGGACTTGCTATTGGTGCTCTGGTAATGGACCAAAAATCTGCCGCTATACTTGGATCAGTGATCATGCTTTCATTTACTCTAGCGAGTGGGTACTATGTTCAGCATGTCCCTTCCTTCATAGCTTGGATTAAGTACCTCTCTATCAGTCAATATACATATAAGCTGTTGTTGGGGTCGCAGTACAAGCCCAGCAACACGTACCCTTGTGCTACCAGTACTGGCATTTGCTTGGTTGAGGAGTTTCCATCTGTGAAGCTTGTTGGTCTTGGTGGGAAAGGCATCTCTGTGGTTGCTTTGGCTGTAATGGTTATAGGTTACAGGCTCATTGCTTATGTTGGCCTAATGAGGATTGGAAGGACAAGCAAGTAGGTAGATTCAGATAAAGACTAAGTAAAGATGATGAAGTTTTGGTTTGATTACAATTTGTGAAATTTAAGGTAAACCCATGTTTATGTAAGTATATGTACCTTTTGTTTATGTTTCAGGACATTCTCTAGATCCATTTTGCCGGTTGTATTATCTTCTTCTTTTTTCTCTCTGTTTTTTTTTGTTTTTTTTTTTTTTTTTGACATGAGCATAGCTAATCAAGCATAAATAATGGGACCTTCAAGCATATCATTTAAATCAATAATATGCTCCAAGTTTTTGCAATGCCTCCTTTCATTTGAGAGGAACACAGACACACACACACACATATCTGAGTCTGCTTGGGAATACAATGTATTGAAATTGAGCCTATTTTGTTTCTGATGTCATTTTTATAATTTTATTGGTTTTCTCATCTGAATTATTGATAGATTGGATTTCAAGAAATGACATGGTTTTTTTTTTTTTTTTTGATAAAATCTCTAAGCTACACAATGAATTTTTTCATGTTATTTTTGAAGAGTGTATCTCTTGAATATCACCCAATCTATTACAGATTTTATATGGTATAATTTCTTTTAACAATTTTGTGAAAATGTGGTTAGGGTAGGATGAACTGCTTGTTACTCCAGTAACTAAAACTACATGAGAATTCCTAGCCCTAATCAGTGAATGTTGTGGAAACTACAGAACGCGCTGTTCTGTTCTGGTGGACACCTTTCCAGTCTTTTTGGCCGTTTAGCAGTGAACAAAAGTTGGTGGATGACTTGGTGTAATAAATATTTGGGCAAGCCACTCTTTGGTCACTTGATTGTGGCAGGCCAAAGACATCCAATCCAAAGTATCTGTAATGTTTTAAGGTTTTATATATATATATGTTAAAGTTATTAGATTTTTTTAAAAAAGTCAGTGGGCCCAAACAATATTTTAAACATCACAAAAGGGCTCAATGGCCATTGACCAGGTTGTCTTTTCTCTCTCTGCGTATCTCTCTCTCTCGTCCAGTCCAATAGCTTCATTTTTTTTTTTTTTTACAATTTCAAGGCTTGACCTTCCTCACACCAATTGGAATTTGGTAGAATCTTGTAAAGCAAAGTCGGAGAGTACGGCGAGATTTACGCGTGGGTACCAACAATTTCAGCTTTAGTGCTCTCTAGGGATTTCGAATTTGAGACCCATTTTGGGACTTTTTCTTTCATTTGAAGTAGGGGATTTCTAAGGCATAAATTCTTTGGTTTATGTGAATTACTTCTCAATTCTTGTTGAATATCATGTTTAATTTGTAGCACTTTATGAAATATAAAATTTCAATGTTGTAGGTGATATGTATGCGTTGGATTTTGTAGATTTTATGTAAAGAAGCATGCCTAAGTAATTGATTCCATGTTTTATATGCCTAATGTACCGAATACTTGTTACTAGAAAGCATGATATGATTTATATTAGAATTTATTTATTTATTTATTTTTGTGTTAAGCATGCTATGTGATTAAGGTTTGAATATGATACATGAGAATGTATAATTGACACGGTATCGAAAGACATGATTTTTCCTCATTTCACGGCATTGTAATACATGGAGCATTCTTGCATCCATCGGGAAGAGAAAAGGAAAAAAAAAATGTTTTCAAAACAAATGAAATAAATTTTTTGGGAAAGTATTTCTAAAAGTATTTGCGAAAACCGGACGCCTAGGAGGCGTCTAGTGGTCCGTGATATTAGTGTAATCTAGAAGGGAGTGTGGTTGAGCTAACTAGACCGGATGCGACGCCTTGGAGGTGTCATGTGGTCGTGGATAGTTAGTCAATCCCCTTATTTGTTGTTGTGGTTGAGAATATGTATTCCCCATGGTATGGCCCCATTTCTTTTTACGTTTTTCTTATGTGGATTCACGGGGTCATAAGAAGTGCGTCTTAGACACTTTCTATTAAGCTTATGCTCACTCCATTATTTTTAACATTTTTCAGGACACGGAAAAGAGGCGGCAGACGACGATCTACAACAGGTTTAGACGAGCTTGGAGACTTAGTTTATTTTTCTATCTTTTGTATTAGAACTCTCATATTTTGTAAATGTAATCTTAATTATTTTGAGAAACTTTAGTTTAATTGGTACACTGTTGTAAGCTATGAACTTTTAAATTCTAGCTACATTTTATGGACTGTAACTTGATGTAACTAAGGTGTGTTTCTTGTTTGGATAAAATGGTGGAAGGGGATTTTTGATACGTATGCAATCATTTTGGAAATGTGATATAATAAATGTATTATGCGTTAGGACATGATATGTTATTTTTAAGGCCCAGTGAGGCTATTGCATTTTTTTTTTTTTTTTTTTTTTTTGTATTTCAACAGGTTGTAGAGGGACTTTTTCTGCGGAGGTCATGCCAAAATTTTATATATTTTATTATTATTATTTTGGTATCTTTTTGGGTCGTTATAAATTTGGTATCAGAGCCATGGTTCGAATACCATTAGGACGATGGGAAGAGGCCTACCTAGGATTGCATGGGGAGTTGAGTTATTTGTTTACTTGCTTAATTGTTTACGTGATTGCTTGCTTATATGCTTATGTATTAAGGTGTTTAATTATTTGAAAGGCATGTTTAATTATTTAACTGCTTATACGACTACGTGCTAAGTGCTTAGTGTTGTTATATATTATTAGCATGATCATGTTTATCATTAATTGGGTATTCTGGGAGTATGGAAGGTGTTTATGTGTCTCCATTCTTGTCAAGTTATTCGTGTGAGGACTTTGTTCTCGTGCGTATTTTAGTGTTATCGTTTTTGATCCATTTCCTTTTTCTTATAGCGTCATGCCACCACGAAGACATCCCGGAGAAAGTTCTAACTCCAATCCCGTGAGAAAGGATCAGGAGCAAGTTGAGGAAGATATCTTGTTACGTGATTTGGTCCCACCAAGAGGAGGGGGACAAACGAGGGGGACCGTTGACCCACCTTTTCAGATAAATGAGGAGCAGTTGAGGTTGGTCGTTCAGGCAGCTCTTTTTAATGCATTTTGACCGGCAGGTACGTTATCGTCACAGTTTGTGCCACCACTACCACCACCTCCAAAAACAAGTGAGACAGATGATACTCTTTATTACGTTGCTAAGTTTGTGAAGTTGATGCCGACTTTGTTTGAGGGCGGTCCAAATCCGCTTATTGAAGATAATTTCATGGATAGGGTGGAGAAGCATATTAATGCCATGAATTTGGCAACAGACAAGTTAAAGATCACATTGGTGACTTACAATTTTGTTGGTGATGCTGAGATATGTGGAAGACCGTTTCACACACGCACGATTTGGATACTATGACATATGATACTTTTAAGAAGTTGTACTATGAGAAGTACTTTCCGGCACCTAAGCGGAGAGAACTAAAGAAGGAGTTTGATGGATTGAAGCAAGGAAACATAACAGTTACAGAGTATGAAAACAAGTTTACATAGCTTTTGAGGTTTACATCAGGGATTGCTAATGATGAAGAAGAAAAGATAGAGAAATTTGTTAATGGCCTTGATCTTACCATTAGGCCGATTGTAGCTGCCTCAAAACTGACAGAGTATGCAAAAGTAGTGCGAAAAGCCTTAATGGTTGAAGCTGAGAGCAAAGACAACAAGGCTATCAGGGAGTCCTACAAGCACAACAGGGTTATGAGTGCTTTCTCCAAAGATCAATCAAGTAAGAAGCAGAAGTATGAGCAGTCAGGGTTCAGGGAACAACAGTCAGTCAGATCTGCACCCACAGCTTCAGTGTCCATGGGGTCTTCTAGACCGAATGTTACTTGTTTTAGATACGGACAACTGGGACATTACAAGTCCCAATGCACCTAGGCTCAGGTAGCTCAAGTGATTTGTTTCAAGTGTGGGCAGTCAGGGCATCATAAGTCCCAGTGTACTCAATTCAGGTGGCATCTGGTGGATGTTTCGGGTGTGGCCAGTTGGGCCATAGGGTGAAAAATTGTCCACAGCGGGGCAGTAGTTTGGGCAGAAGTGGAGGTTCACAACAGAGGAAAATGTAGTCTGCCACCGTTCAGTCGAGGTTTCGACTGCTACCACCACCTCAGCCATCTCAGCCCAAAGTTCTCGACCGGGTAAGGGAGCTTGTAACGACCCGCTCCACCACATGGTATGATATTGTCCGCTTTGGGTCTGAGCCCGCACGGTTTTGCTCTTGGGCTTCACCCCAAAAGCCTCATACCAATTGGAGGTGACACACTTACATATAAGTACTTCACCTTTCCTCTACCCAGGCGATGTGGGACTGTGCGCCCGTAGCTCGCCAGTGTGGTAGCCTGACAGTGTCTCTCGCACCCGCCCACAGCACACCCGCCCACAAGGTCATCACAATCCACCCCCCTTGGTGGCCCGACGTCCCCGTCGGCACACTTCCGGCTGGGTCAGGCTCTGATACCATTTGTAACGACCCACTCCACCACATGGTATGATATTGTCCGTTTTGCCTGAGCCCACACGGTTTTGCTCTTAGGCTTTACCCCAAAAGGCCTCATACCAATTGGAGGTGACACACTTACATATAAGTACTTCACCTTTCCTCTACCCAGGCGATGTGGGACTGTGCACCCGTAGCTCGCCAGTGTGGTAGCCTGACAGTGTCTCTCGCACCCGCCCACGGCACACCCGCCCACAGGGTCATCACAATACACCCCCCTTGGAGGCCCGACGTCCCCGTCGGCACACTTCCGGCTGGGTCAGGCTCTGATACCATTTGTAACGACCCACTCCACCACATGGTATGATATTGTCCGCTTTGCCTGAGCCCGCACGGTTTTGCTCTTGGGCTTTACCCCAAAAGGCCTCATACCAATTGGACCCAGGCGATGTGGGACTGTGCACCCGTAGCTCGCCAGTGTGGTAGCCTGACAGTGTGCCGTGGGCGGGTGCGAGAGACACTGTCAGGCTACCACACTGGCGAGCTACGGGTGCACAGTCCCACATCGCCTGGGTAGAGGAAAGGTGAAGTACTTATATGTAAGTGTGTCACCTCCAATTGGTATGAGGCCTTTTGGGGTAAAGCCTAAGAGCAAAACCGTGTGGGCTCAGGCAAAACGGACAATATCATACCATGTGGTGGAGTGGGTCGTTACAAATGGTATCAGAGCCAGACCCAGCCGGAAGTGTGCCGACGGGGACGTCGGGCCTCCAAGGGGGGGTGGATTGTGATGACCTTGTGGGCGGGTGTGCTGTGGGCGGGTGCGAGAGACACTGTCAGGCTACCACACTGGCGAGCTACGGGCGCACAGTCCCACATCGCCTGGGTAGAGGAAAGGTGAAGTACTTATATGTAAGTGTGTCACCTCCAATTGGTATGAGGCCTTTTGGGGTGAAGCCCAAGAGCAAAACCGTGCGGGCTCAGGCCCAAAGCGGACAATATCATACCATGTGGTGGAGTGGGTCGTTACAAATGGTATCAGAGCCTGATCCAGCCGGAAATGTGCCGACGGGGACGTCGGGCCTCCAAGGGGGGTGGATTGTGATGACCCTGTGGGCGGGTGTGCCGTGGGCGGGTGCGAGAGACACTGTCAGGCTACCACACTGGCGAGCTACGGGTGCACAGTCCCACATCGCCTGGGTAGA